AAATATTATAAAACTCAAATATCCGTAAAAGTAGGATAGAATTAGGTTGAATTGTAACCTTATTAAAACAAATGTCAACTCACGAATATATTCGAATTTTTTTTCGAATTTTTTTTCGAATCTATTCTGTCTGAGTTGAGTAATATGAATGGGTCATATCGACCTTTTATCTGATAAATGCATCCCTTCTAGAAGTCGGGTTTGTTGCACGTATTATCTCTAGAATTACTATAGTTATTTGAGTAATAAATACCGAGTCATTCGCAGTTTCTTAATTTGAATTAGTTTATGCTTATATACGTATGGCTTAATCAATCAGGTAGCATTCTGACACGACATTGCAATCTACTTGCCATGAATAAACAATATTTAAAACACTTTTAATATTTAAAATACCGACATCGTACCTTAACTAAATAATATTTAAAATTTAATTATTTATTTTCAGTCATTTTCATACAAATATTTAAACATAAATAACATTAAATTCAACTAAATGATGATAAAGTCACTCCAACTCTTCTATATTACATTACTAAATATCTCAATAATCATTTCCTTTTTTAGCCCTTATATGTAATTAATGGGTTTGTTTAATTTATTTTGTAATTAATAAAGGTTAAAATCCAAATCTTTAAATTTTATTTAAATAATTATTTTGATTTTTGTTCGGCTCGAAATTATGTGACTATTACTGTATTTTAATGATTTGATATAAATGTACAGTGGATAAATGAAATTTTTTTAAATAATTAATAAAGAATAACTCGACAACCCAACCCAACCTAACCCAAATACAGAAGGTTTGGGTTGGGTTGCTCGGGACATTAACTCAATTAATTTCAAATTTTGAGTTAATTCAAAATATTTCTTTAACCCAATTCGTGTACACCTCTAGTTATTATAAAATATTCGAAACCTGTTATTAATTTACTAAAAATAAAATAAAAAATTAAAATTAAACTGTCAACCTTAAAAATCAAAATAAAATTTAAGCTAGATATTATTATTATTATTTAATAAACATATATAAAAAAATATGTGTTTTATTATAATTGTTTAGAAGTTTATTTTTATTTTAGACCACTTTTTTTTTTCGAATTATTCTAATAAATCTCAAAATCTCTGCTCTTTACCCATGACTTTAGGGAGTTTTATTTTATTATTTTTTTAAAATATCTCTTAATTTAACTACTTTTTTAATATATATATATATATATATATATATATATATATATATATATATATTAATAAAGGATAATATATGTTTATTTATTTATTTTAATGAAAATTTGATTTCTTTCCTAAGAGAGACTTTAATTTGTAATAATAAGGCAATATTATTAAATTTATTACAATATTTTATAAATTTAATAGAAATTATATAAAAATGGTTTAAAATTCGTTTTTTTTTTTAAACATATAAAAAATGGAAAAAAAATAATTGTGGGAACATGATCCCCTAGCATTTTCGATAAAGAATCCTTAAAATAGGACTCGAGAGATAGAGAGATAAAGATTTTCCTCTTCCCCATCTCAATCCGGTGGACATCTCTAGTGGCAAAGGTTCATGTCGTGGTTGTACTGTAAAATCGGTGGATGTAGAGCCTTTTGGTCAAGTTATCGAGACAACATTAAAATAATTTTTAAATAAGAAAATAAAACTATGTATATATTATAAAATGAAATAAATAAATAAATAAATAAATAAAATATAAGGTAAGATTTGATAGCTAATAAGCGGCCAAAGGGAAAGAAGAGCATGAAAAGGATTGGTAAACAATAACCGTACACGTGTCGAAAAACTGACGGCTAACTTTCATGTATTATTATTATTAATACTCCTATTTTCCGTGTTGGCAAAATGGTGGACCACGTGTGTTGGCGGCAGTGTGATTTAATATCTTTCTCGGGACAGGTGGACTCCCAAACAAGCATTAACTTACAAAAATCCACGTCATGATTTTATTCCATGTCATCAAAACCCTGTCCACACAACCAACTATTCTTCATATTTTATTATAAAAAACAAAATATCAAAGAAAACTGTTAATACTTATTTCAAAAAATATTCATAAATTTTGAAAATGTTTTAAAAATATTTTTTAATTTTCATTTAAAAAAATAATAATTTTTAAAAGTTTTAATTAATACCTTCAACTTTTAATAAAAATATTAAAAATTTCAAAAATATTTTTATAATTAGTACACATTTCAAAAATATTTATGAATTTTAAAAAATAATGTTAAAAATTTTGGAGATAATCTATCCGATGATCTTTTTTTATAGGTAAAAATGTATTAGGAAACTTTTTAAATTTTAAAAATATTTTTTTCAATTTAACTTTTTTTTTTAAGGGAAAGTTATTACAAACCTTGGAAGAATAAATATATTTATCAACAAAATGTAAAAAAGAAACTTTGGAAAATATATCATTTTTTATATAAAAAGATCCTTTAAAAAGTATATTATCTTTTATCAAAAGTTACATATAATTAAAAAAAATTAAAAAAATTGAAAAATGTGTACGTTTTTTTCTCTCTCAAGATTATCAATTTATTATTTTTTTATCAAAATTCATCAAAACCCTTTAAAAGATATTACTTTTTTTTTTCGAATATTAGATAAATAAAAATAAAAAAACGTTGAAAAATACATTATCCTTTTATATAAAAAAAAGTAGTCACTTTTTAATGTTTTATTTATTTATTTAAAATAGGATTTCACTTAATATCTTTAAATGAAAAAAAAAAAAAAACACACTTTTAATCTAAACATGTAACGACCTATTTTTTTAGCACGACTTTATCTTTTTGCGTGGGGCGTTTTTGAATTCGTCTATTGAACCTTATTCTTGTTGGTCTTCGCACACGATTTGGTTCATGCATTTGATGGGCTTGGCTTTAAGGATGGGCTAGATTTATGTGGTTTCTCGTATCTACATGGGTTTGGTGACAAAGATCCAACTCGACTCAACCTAACCCACACAAAAAAAAAAAAAAAAAAAGGTTGATTCTATGTGGACGGTGTGTCTCCTACGATGGTAGGAAATACTGTCGGCAATGTGTTTTTAAAGAAATAGATGGATGATTCGAATCTAAAATCGAAGCAATGAAGAGGTGAGGAAAGAGACCCTACGAAGGTTGATGATCCTTTGGTAGATATATCTTGGTGCAAGGTTTAATATATGTAATGAACAGCTCAAACTCACCGCTAGTAGATATTATCCGTTTTATTGTGAGATCCTACGTTGTCCTCATTTGCTTTTTTTCCTTTTAATCTCTCCATAAAAAATAACCATTTAAATCTTATTATAATTTAGGGTAGATTTTAATTCTATTTCATAGTTTTTAATTTTAAAAAATTAAATTATCAAATACTATTTTTTTTATATGGGTGTTTGTTATTTTCTAATCTAATTTTCACGTTATTTAATATTTATTCTTATATTATCTTTCGCGTATATAAGTTTTAGGTTCTTATTGGTTGATTGTTCTTATTGGTTGATTTTTTTGGACCGTCCTATTCACTTATTGATCCAATTCTAGTCTATTTGTTCGTTGATCTTGGGTCGGTTTCCTAACTTTTATATTTGTCTAAAAAAGACTCTACGGTTAGTTTTGAATAGAAACCATTAGTATTTTATTTTTCACAAATACCTTTAAAATTTTAAAAAGTTTTATTAATGCCCTCCAACTTTAAAACAAAATTCAAAAATATCTTTGTTCTTAGTACCATATTTAAAAAATACACCTGAAATTTTAAAAGTAATATTAACGCCATTTACTATTATAAAAAAAATTCAAAAAAATAATTACCAACAATATATGGATGAAAGTAGTCTATTAATACTTCATATATTATTTTTAAATTTTTTAATATTACTTTCGAAAATATAGATTTTTTTAGAAGTGGGTAATGGTAAGAGATTTTTTTTTTTTTTTTTTTTTTTTTAAGTTTAAAGGTATTTTTAAAATTTTGTTGAAATAATTTTGAAAATTAAAGAGTATTTTTGAAATGGATAAAAATAAATTTTTTTTTTTTTTAGAAATTTCAAAGAATTATTTTAAAATTGTTTATAAGAATTATTATTTTTGTTAATTTAGCGTATATTTTATTTTTTAACTTTGTTCTTTAATCTAACAATAGTTGTGGCCGAATGTCAGATGGGACTGACGGACGGGACATAAATGTTAAATTGAATGGCAATTAAAAGGCTAATAAAAGGGAAAAAGAAATTCCCAAAAGGACTGATTGGTTGAATAAGAACGCGCCACGTGGCATTCCCTTAGTGAGTAAGAAAGTGAATGTGGCATCTCCACTTGGATTCCATATTTCCAACTGTTTCACCCTTTGTCCACTTGGCATTTTTCAACTAATATCTGTTTGTCCAGTCAGCAAATATATATATATATATATAACAATCCATTAATATTTTAAAATATTCTCAAACAGATGTTCGATTTTTTCACTTCTTTTTAACTTAAATAGAAATTTTAAAAAAACAAGTTAATAAAAAAATATTTTTTTTACAAAATCGACGTCCAAATATTAAAATCAAATATAAAAAAATGGATACCATTCTAATTTACTTTAATAATTCTTGGAAATCAATATATATATATATATATATATATATATATATATATATATATATATATTTGGAATAAAGAGAAGTAAAGAAAAAACTATTATCCTAATATCAACGAACATTTATTTATTATTATTATTTATTTTTCAAAATATAATCTCCAAGGACTGGGCTGTCTACCTTTTATGGTCATGGATTTATTCTATTCCATTAATAATTTTTAATAAATAATTTAAAAATGGTGTTCTAGACAAAAGGCTTCAAATTGCATAATTTTTTAAGAACAGAATATAAAGTAATTGGAATATATATTAATTAGAGAGGAAAAAGTAATTTTATGTGACTATAAATATCAGTCCTACTTCCATCAAAACACATTGAAACTTAGGCATTTATAAAAAAAGAACAATAAAACTACTTGAAGAGAAAAAAGAAAGAAAGAACCAAAAAAAAAAAAAAAAAAAGTGGAGATTACTCTGTTTTTCTTTGTTCCTCAAATTTTGTCTTGTTGATTTTCTCTCTGTTTCCATGCTTCCAATCGCCAAATTTTTTTGCAGCATCGTCCAGTTTCCTGGAAGTGATTCCACTGGAGATGATTGTTGCGGTTGGATCGACGAATTTGACGGAGAAGGAATTTGTTTACCAGTGACATTGATTTGATTTTAGCTGATCGTCTTTATAAATTCTGTTGTTGTTGTTGTTGTTGTTGTTGTTGTTTTCACTGGATTGATTTTGTTGTTTCTGGAAATGGAGTCTGTCAGTTTCTGCGATATAAGAACGGAGAGGATGAACACAATTCTTAAGTATCGACAGCTCAGGAAAATTGCTAACCTGTTTCGGTTCATCGAGCTGTGTTTGATTCTCGTCGTGATCTCGAAATTATCTATCCATCTGCCGAGCGCCTTCAAGAATTTTGGAGAGTACTTCCGGTGCTTGTCGATGACTTTGATTAGTCCTCGCTTCGTGTTTCTGATCGGAAACGCGATAGTCATCACTCTGTTCGCTAAATCGGGACAGTTCTCTGGTACGGATCTGAGCAAGAAGAATTCGGTTGCCGATCTTTACGAGGAGTTCATCCAAAACAGCGAGAAGAATCAAAGAACTCGTCGCGCCGAGATCAAGTACCGAATCAAGCAGATCGATAGCGGAAACGTCCATGGCGACGCCTCCATCAAGTATCGAATCCAGCAGATCGATAGCGGAAGCGGCAACGCCTCAATCGTGATAAAGAAAATCGGTAATCCTGAAGAAATCAAACATTATCGGAGGAGTCAGTCGGAGAAAATAGCGGTGGTACAGCGAGAGAATCCGCACAGCAAACTGAGCCGATCAGAAACAGAAAAAAGCAAGAAAATCGTCCGATTGAGTGAAGGAACAGAACAAATCTCGTATCCGGAAGATGGAATGAGCAACGAGGAGTTCCAGGAGATGGTGGAGGCGTTCATAGCGCGGCAGCAGAGGTTGAGAAGGGAGGAAGAATTCTGTGGATTTTAGAAATCAAAGGTTTCACATCTCGTTAATCCTGCAAGTGATTAGGGCAACTGTTCTTGTTAATCTTCAAAAATAAAAAAAGAAAAAAAGAAAAAAAGAAAAAAAAAAAAAAACTTTTGGACTTCAAATTTGAATTAAACATAATTTAATTAATCTGTTAAAATTTTCTAGATCTTTCTAAATTAATCTCTTATAAATTTTTTAAACTTTATCCGAACATAATTTAATTAATATGTTAACTTTTAATAAAATAATAAATTCAACTTTATCCAAACATAAAATATTAGATTGAGAGAAGTATTCTGGTTATTTATTAATATATATTTTTTCATAAAAGTAAATATTAATACGTAAAATATTTATTCATTTATTTTTAAACATTAAATTTTTCTCTATTAACGTGAGATGTCCTAATATAATATTTATTTATTTATAGAATATTAAGTTATAATATTGAAATTTGAGTTTTTGAATATTATATTATATTTTTGTTTATAAAATATTAATGAATCTATTAGAATGTTTTACATTTTTTTTAAAAAAATTATATCGAAAAATGAAATCTATCGGATAAAACAAATTGAAATTAATATTTTTTTTTTTTATAAAAATAAATAAAATTTTTCGAATTCTATGTCCATAATTTTAAAATCTGCAAAAATAAAGGAAAATTTTTGTAAGAATGGAAATTGAAATTATATTTAATAAATTTGTTGAAACTAATAATAAAAATATAATGTAAGTGCTATAATTTTTTTTAATTATTATGAACTAGAGGAGTATATAACTCAATTTATGTATATTTATATTCATATTAGATTATACAATATATTAATATCAATCATTTTTCAAATTTAATTAAAATCGTAAAAGTATAAATGATATAAATAAGAAAATTAAATTTTATTTGAATCATAAAGGAATTATATGCATGCATGATATTTTATATTAAAAAAAAATCTTTAGCATAAAGTTTATTAAGGTATGATTTTTATTGTGATAAATAGAATATTTAGATCATTTTTATTTTTTAAAAATTAAAATAGTTATAGCTTTAATTATCATATTATTCCATATTTATTCTTGTGCATGTGACATTAGTCTAATGGAATAAAAATTGATAGGTTTATATTCACGATCCCTATGAGATTGTAACATACGTGTTATTCGTTATTACATATATATCCTTGTCAACTCACAGTATTTTTCTTTAGATATTATCGACTCATACTTATCTTTATCAAAATCCATACCAAAAAAAAAAAATAAAAAAATAAAAAAATTAAAGATTTAATATGATATTATTATTAATAATCCATTACAATACATCATTTATTATCAATTCCACAAGTCTAACATAATAAATTGACATTTCTTTGTCAATCTAAGCATAGCTCAACTGATTAAAATATTATATCATTATCTAAAGAGTAAATTTGTACGACAATTGGTATTTATTTGTCAATATGAGCATAGCTTAACGGATTAAAATATTATATTATCATCTGTACGAGAGTTATGAAGACCAATATATATAGAGAGAGAGAGAGATTCAAATACGGGTTCAAAATCGAGGCAAAAGTTTTTCTGACCTAATATCACGGGACGAGATAAAATGTCGAAAAGGAAATATTTGGATAAGAGCTTGGAAGAGGGGTTGTAGGCTTCTAGGGTTTCATTGAATGAGAAAGATAAAAGGAATTTATTCAAAATGAGGTGTTAATTGGATAAAGGGAAGAAGCATTTGAATAATAATAATTCTATCCTATACTAATAATGCCTTTCAATTCAAGGCAACCGGTCCTTGTAATACGAGCATGGCATCCAATTCCCATTCCAAATCCAATTCCTCTATCCGAACAAGAACCCGTTTTCATCATCGAACTAATGTTCAAGGCAACATTGATACCGAATTTTATCTCTAAATTATCATTCGAAAGATATCGAATCAAATTTCTTGGCATCAACATAAACTGTAAAATGTTCGGTCCAGTGTCGAGACTAATCATAAGTGATCGATCTGTATCTCATGTAATAGTTCAAGCCACTACTAACAAATATTATCCATTTTGACCCATTACGTATCATCATCAGTTTCACAATTTTAAAACACGATTACAAGAAAAAGGTTTCCACACCCTTATAAAGAATGTTTTGTTCCTCTCTCCAACTGATGTGGAATCTCACAATCCACCCTCCTAAAACCAGCATCTTCACTGCCACACTGCTTGATGTCTGACTCTGATACCATTTGTAACAGTCGAATCCCACCGTCAGCAGATATTGTCTGCTTTCCATTAGCCTCATAGTTTTAAAGCATGTCTACTAGGGAGATGTTTCTACACACTTATAAGGAACAACCATCTTATAAAGCGGCAACAACAGGACATGAGAAGTATACACAACATAATCCATCATTTCAAATCCAGATGAAGTCCGAGAACCGATCGATCGAGGTTACATTATACTTGTATGTAGCACGGTATTAAAATAGCAGCGACCGTGTATTTGTATGAGAACGATAAAAGAACTATAGCAAATACAAAACCGAACTAAATCACTTCAGAACCAACCAGAGGAACTAAAGGATTCTCACTAGACATAGTAAAGTATAAAGTATATATCCCATTAGCACTGTTTATTTGCAGACCATATTAACCAACGCCTTCGATGTTCGTACCTGAAATATCGCTAAAAAACCGCTTCAGCGCCAACGAACCCGACTTATAAACAACTCATAGAACATTTTCATGGTAATTTTACTGCACTTGCTTCAAAATTTGAATAATATACGGTAAAGGAACTGAGTACCCTGGTTTGTTGAACAAGTTAGATCAAGTTCTACACTGCCATTTTCATTGCTATCTTCTCATGAGGGTCGTAACCGATTAATTCGAAATCAGCTGCCGCGAAAGAGTCGATATCGTTCTTCTCGGGGTTAATCTTCAAAGTCTACAATAAGGTTAAGACGGATAAGGTTAAGACGGATTAAACGCAGCCGGTTACTAAATGCTAACATGGAAGAACCACATTATCATAGTTTCCCTACTTACCGGGAACGGTTTGGGGAGTTTTTGAAGCTGCTCCTGCAATGGCCTCACGTGAGTACGGTAAACATGAGCATCTCCAATCACGTGTATGAAGTCGCCTCGAGCAAGACCTGCAAATTGCTTTTGTTAAAGGAAAACCATGTTGCTTTTGTTAAGAATGTTTTATGAGCCATAACGAGAGATCCCACGTTGGTTGGAGAGAAGAATGAAACATTCCTTATAAGGGTGTGGAAACCTATCCCTAGCATACGCATTTTAAAAACTTTGGGAGGAAGCTCGTAAGGGAAAGCCCAAAGAAGACAATATCGGCTAGCAGGGGCTTGGGTGGTTACAAATGGTATTAGAGCCACACACCAATTAATGTGTCAGCAAGGAACTGAACCCCGAGGGGGATGGACATCAGGTTGTGTGCTAGCAAGGACACTGGGCCCCAAAGGGGGTGGATTGGGGGGGTCACATCGATTGGAGAGGGGAATGAGTGCAGCAGGACACTGGGCCCCGAATGGAGGTGGACTGTGAGATCCCACATCAGTTAGAGAAGGGAACGAAGCACCCTTTATAAGAGTGGAAACCTCTCCTTAACAGACGCGTTTTAAAAACCTTGAGTGGAAGCCCGAAAGGGAAAGCCCAAAGAAGACAATATCTAGTAGCGGTGGACTTGGGCAATATTGAAGAGAAATAAATCTCGTTTCATGACCTTACTAGATTGCCTCATAGAAGTACACGCAAAGAATACATAAACAAGAAGGGATGAGAGACAAAAAGATTGTGAGGTTCCACATCGGTTGGAGAGGAGAACGAAACATTCTTTATAAAGGTGTAGAAACTTCTACCTAGCAGACGCGTTTTAAAAATCTTGAAGGGAAGCCCAAAGAAGACAACATCGGCTAGCGGTGGTCTTGGGCAGTTACAAATGGTATCAAAGCCATACACCGGGCAATGTGCCAGCGAGGAGACTGCACCCTGAAGGGGGTGGACACAAGGCAGTGTACCAGTAAGGACGCTTGGCTCTGAAGAGGGGTGGATTGTAAGAACCCACATCGGTTGGGGAGGAGAACGAAACATTCTTTATAAGGGCGTAGAAACCTCTCCCTAGCAAACGCGTTTTAAAAACTTTGAGAGGAAGCCCTAAAGGGAAAGTCCAAAAAGGACCAGGGTCGTGGGCGGTTACAAAAAGACTACCAAAAACAGATACGTACAGAAAAAACAAGATATCATTGAACAGCCAGCTCCAAAATAACAGTTTAACTGCAACAAGGTAATTTAAAGTAAACTACTGGTCATTATGGAGTAGCATACCACAAACATGAGCAATCATGCACGTCAGAAGAGCATATGATGCAATATTGAACGGAACACCAAGGCCCATGTCAGCAGAGCGCTGATACATTTGACACGATAATTCCCCGTTCGCTACATAAAACTGCAAAAAACGACCAATAAACAAAGTAAGCGAATGAGCATTGAACCTAGCATCGTGCATTTTAATCCAACCTGAGCGAACATGTGGCAAGGAGGAAGTGCCATTAGTTTGAGATCAGATGGATTCCAAGCAGAAAGAACGATCCTCCGGTCATCGGGATTGTTCTTTATCTTGTTAATAACATCTAGCAACTGATCAAATCCTTGACCAGTATAGTCAGCATGCATGTCAGTATACCTATAGAAGAAATGTCGAAAGCATTAAACCTCAAATCCCACGATAAACTTTCAAAGTCATTCTCGGAGTAATCCACGAACCTAGCACCGAAGTGTCGCCACTGGAACCCATATACAGGTCCCAAGTCGCCCTCCTCCCATTCTTTCAAACCAATACTAAATATTACAGAAAAGAAAAGAAAAACAGGGTTATGGCTTAAACTATATAACGAAAAATTAAAATTTCAAAAAATCTACGAGTAATTGCCTATCGAGGTAATCTCTCGATGCATTGCCATCCCAAATATGAATGCCTTTCTCCTGAAGAACCTGTTGATATTGAAACTTCAGGATATAATTCAAGTCAAATCGTTCAGTAAACAAAGGTTTTGTAAAAAAGAGGTTCTGATGGTTGAGAATGACCACTACAGGATAAACCACACAAGCTAGGCTAGGCTGTCGACGCCTAAAAGGACGTACTACAATGGGAAACTTGAAGCCACCTCTCCAAAAGCGATCATTAGGAAACCGCCCTCCACCCGAACATTATATGGAAATAGTAAAAAAAGCAATCGGTCTGAGAACTTTTCGTCGGCCAAAAAACAGTGAATGAAAGAGTGCCTTCTCCATCATAGAGTAACATCACCTCCTCAAAGCCATACAATTACCAAAAGTCCAGAGACCTATCTAACAACTTCCTTACCAAGCGGTATCTCCACAAAGTCTGATCTCATGAGATCCCACATCGGTTGGGGAGGAGAATGAAACATTCTTTATAAGGGAGTGGAAACCTCTCCGTTTTAAAAATCTTGGGGGACGCCCGAAAGGGAAAGGGAAAGCCTAAAGAGGACAATATCTGCTAACGGTGAGTTTGGGCCGTTACAAATGGTATTAGAGCCAGACACCGAGCAATGTGTTAGCGAGAAGGCTGAGACTCGAAGGGGGGTGGATAGCAGGCGGTGTGCCAGCGAGGACGCTGGGTTCCGAAGGAGGTGGATTGGGGGGTCCCACATTGATTGGAGAGGGGAACGAGTGCCAACAAGGACGCTGGGCCCCGAGGAGAGTGAATTGTGAGATCCCACATCAGTTGGGAAATAGAATGAAACATTATTTATAAAGGTGTGGAAACCTCTCCCTAGCATACGTTTTTAAAAACCTTGAGAAGAAGCCTAAAAGGAAAAACCCAAAAAGGACAATATCTGTAAAAACACTTTTTACAAGTTCCTAAAAGTATCTTTAGTCACGATAACCACTAAGCCATGCTAACAATTCACTTAATTGTTTAGTTCCCAATTCCTAACCCATCCTCATCCCCTGCTTCCGATAAAACGGACAGGGATCGGAAACGAAGACAAAGAAGTATGGATGATGGGAAGAACCACTGAGCCATACACTTCATAAATTGAGCAGGCCATCTAGGCTACAAGGCTGCAACCTACTAGTAAAGTAAAGTTCAAAGTGATAGTGCTAGCAAAGCATAGTATAGCATCTTACCTTTGCATTCGTCGAACCACTTATGAACCAAAGAAGTTCTTCAACGACCCCTCGCCAAAATACTTTCTGAAGGATCAAACGATAAGGATATATGTCAACAACTGAACCATTCCCAAAAACGATGCACCAGATTCTTAGAAATTGCAAAAGTGAAACAAGACAAGAAAAGAGGGAGTTTCACTTTCACAATACAGCTACAAAAGAAATCAAAACGAGAAAATCAGCACATGCCTTAGTTGTAAGCAGCGGAAACGTTTTGCGCAAGTTGTACCGCATCTGTACAGATATCAAGAACAAGACAAGAACTCGTGCATACATAAGCATTCAAAATAGTTCTACTATGAAAAAAATAGATATCCCGAATAATAAGAGAACATTACCTGACACCCGAATCTTGACAAAGTACCTGTTCCTGTTCTATCTTCCTTAGCGGTACCATTTGAGATAATTTCTTGAACAAGTTTTAAGTACAAGTACTCCTCGTGCCTCTCAAAAATCTCCTTCGGTAGGAAAGAGAACTTCTTAGCCTCAAAGTTAGAAAAATCAGGCTTGTCATTACCGATCGGGCCATTGTTCTGATCAATAGGTGATTCTACCGAGCTCCTCACACGAACATAACTAGTGAAAGAATATTGAAAGTTATTTTCCACCACAGGAAACGACGAGTACCATGGCTGAAACATAGACTTATCAATAGCTGGAATGAAGGTGTCACAGTCAACATTTGCCACAATTTCAGTAATGTGGATAGCATCACATTCAGGGGCATTCAGAGCTTCCCTGCATTAAAAACACAATCAGTGAACAAAGACAGCAAGTAGTACACTAAGAGAGATCGAGAAAACAAGCACACACACCTTAATATCTCGCCTCCACCTATAACGAACACTTTCTCTATTGACAAACAGTACGGAGAAGCTGCTAATAACTCCAAAGCAGACGTTATACTACCACATATTATGACATTTTCAACGGTGGCAATGTCAAAACTCCCCGAGCGAGTCAGAACAACATTGAGACGACCTGGTAGTGGTCGGCGCTCAGGAGGAATACCCTCCCATGTTTTTCGACCCATTAGAATTGCATTCCTTTTCCCTGGATCCGATGTTGTTGTGGTTATGTTTCTAAAAAACTTGAGATCAGACGGCAACATCCATGGTAGTTGCCCATCCTTACCAATACCCATATTTTCAGTAGCCGCCACAACAACCTGATACGTCCTCCGTGGATCAGGTTGTGCATTGACATTGGCATTGCCATCAGAGCTTGTCAAAGGATCACCAGCCATATTAGAACTAAAAACTCGACCAAACCTAAATGATGGTAACTTGAATGATCTTCCCCCGCACACCCGACTTCCACAGAAGTGGGGTAGAACCTGAAATCGAACACAACCAAAAAACAACAAAATCAATTATATCGAACATGATCCAAATGAGTAAACATTCAAGACTCATTTCTTGAAATAAAAAACCTCTTAGCTTAAAAACTCTCCATATACAGATGCCAAGGGATAGAGCGAAGACTCGTAAACCAAATCTAGATGAATCCGAAACCAACGAAACTATTGCTTCACATTATTGAAGGTGGACGATTACAACCAAAACAACTAAAGAAGAAACTAAATCCGTCCAAATAGATTCTTTTCACCTGGATCAGAGGTTTATAAACACTGAAAAGCAACAAATCGACGCATATATTGGATGTTACCTTAATTTAAAACGTTCAAAACAAAGACTTCTATGACGTTTAATCTAATTTTAGGAAAAAGGATATTCAATAAAAATAGAGTTCCCCGTTCAAAGAACGAGGGTTAAGGTAAACTTTCAAACGAAAACGGAGTAAATCGAAGGTTATTCTGTCTATGGCATACATTTCAAACTGAACTATCTTTTGATTCACAGAGAACTGAACACCATTACCTAATTTATAAAAGACAATGAATGGATTCAATTATTCTTCCAAACAAATCAAAATCAACTTAAGAAAAGAAACAGAGTTTCAAATCCATAGTTTTACATGAACAGAATTCATTAAAAAATCAAAATCAAAGAACAAAAGGAAAAGGATAATGATGTTAAACAATTGTTGCATTGTGATAAGGTCAAGCATCAAATCACATTCTTCTTTTTCCCTTAACCTAACTTCCAGATTCTTCCTACCTAACAAAATGCATACAAAATGATTAAAAACGTATTCCTTACAGCTCAAATTCGCTTGAAGATAAGGGATAATGTACTAAAGAGACGAAACAAGATGTCGAAAAACACAGAGACAGCATAAAACAAGCATCATATTAAGCAAAAAGCATACATGCAATGAACTATTTCAGGTCAAATGCAAATTCAATCATCACAAATCGATCAAAAAGAGCATTTAATCTCCAACCCAGAAGACAAAAACAAGAACAGATACCAAAAAATCAGTCCCCAGCAATCTAATTTCAAAATAGTACGACAAAATCAAGAACAAAACAGGAAAAAAAAACGAGAGAATTCGTCTCAACTCACCGAGGGGATGAAAATCTTCACCTGGGAAAAGGCTAAGATAAGTTTTGGAGCAATGGGAGTGAAGTTGTGGGTGTTGTTTATGGATTTTTGGGGGTTTTACGAAATGGTTATTTCTGAAAACGGGTATAGTGATGGGGAAAAGGGAGGGAGGGAGGGAAATTCAACAGGTGGAGACTTTTTTGGATGAAAAACTGCTTCGTTTTTAGGTTGTTTTAACTTTTTCGTCTTCAATGTTGGAGGGTACTATGGGAAATGTTCGAAGACGAAAGCGGAGGAAAATCCAAAGACGAGTTTCCTGCGGATTACCGCCGTCTATGATCCAAATGGGAATGTTGGGGAGTTGAGTGTAGCTGTAGTTTCTCTACGTTCACCTAACTCTCTAACCAAAGTTTGAAACTTTCTCTAAATCTCTTAAAATTTAGACCTCGAAAATCTTCCGGAGTTTATTAATATATTTCGATTAGAATCGGATATTGTATATAAATTTATTAAGATTTCGTTTGATTGAAATTTTATTCTCGGTTGGATAAAAGGTGCACTGGGTGAGTGAACGGTGAGGTCGTGAGAGAGACTTCTTCGAGGGTTGAATCAAGATGTGATACTTGTTAAAGAGAGTAATCAAATTCTCGGATTGTGAGTATATAAGTGAAGACAACGATTTGCATTGGTACGAGATATTACAAGTAGAACTAATAGCATGACAATGGGAGATTACGTCTACCGTAGACAGTATTATATGATTACGAAGATGGGTGGAGGTTCTATTGTTCTTAACGGGTGGTATCAAAATCATACCAATGACGTAGTCATGTCGATAAAAAATTATAGATTACTTGGCTTCACTTTTCGTCACGATGATCTCTTCTATATTCACCCACCACTTTGGCTCGTTATATCATCGCCAGCCTCCATACTCTTATAAATAATGTTTTTTTTTTAAGTAATGATTAAAATTCTTATAAACGATGAATTTTTATCTCAAATTAAATTTGAAACCGACATAAATATTGCAAATTTTCGCTTACGTTTAATCCCGACTTAAAAAAAATACTATTATACGAAGATTCAATTTAAAATTTTAGTTCAACAATACTACGTATAGCTGGAAATTCGAACTTCTAACATTTTAACTAAGTTTATATCGTTTTAATTTGTTTAACTATTTTGAAGTCGGCACCAAATTCACACGTTAAACGAACTTATAATTGTCATTTAGTCTATTACGATGGTTGAAATCTAACCAAAAAAAAAAAAAAAAAAACATTAATCAAAACAAGACACGGAAATAACCATGGGATGGTTGTCACAAACACATGTCTCTTATGTGTATGAATAATAATAATCAATCATCAAGGTGTAGTTGCTCTCAACGACATAATTAAACAAGTCATTTTTCAAAACAATCATACGCTTAAAAGAATAAAGGGTCGTAAGACTCTCCCGAGTTAAATTAATAAAAATATTCTTATCGTTAGTATTGAAATCGGAAATAAATTCTAGAAACTAAATTAAAAAGGGTATTCCGAGCAATTTCAATAATTGGGTTCATCGATATTCCCGGTATAGTAGATGCTATCACACATACGATCATGCTCAATTCGATGGACTTCTTTGATCTTCTATAATTTCGCACGTAAGAGGTTATTTCTTGGTTTCGTCCAGTCGTTAATAACTTGATTATTTTGAGATCATAGTAGTTAGAAACAACGCGTCCAAACTTTTTAATAAAAATTAAAACAATATTGTTAGTTTAAAAATTAATCATCAAGAATTTAACAATTTTGGAACAAAATAATGTGGTAGGAAAAACCATTGGGTAAGGTAGTGGAGTAGCTTAGGTTTCGGCATTGGCTCCAAGAAAAGAGGAGGGAGGTAAAAATGCACGCTGTTTTGTTTCCTTGTCTTGCAAGACTTTGTCTATGGTGGATGAACCAGAAATCCCTGTGTGGGTTGTCCCTTTTGGAGGCCTATTTTGAGTAAACATTTCTTCATATATCTTCCTCTTTCTCCTTCCTGCACTCTTGTCAAAAGGTATTTTCTCTGATCCTCCATTGTTGATGTTCTTCTGGGTTTTGCTCTGTTCTAGAACAGATAAAGCGAAGAACAGGGCCATTGTTGTTTCATTAGATTTTAAAGCTTTTTTCTATATTGTTCTTGTGCACCTTCTTTGTTTGATTGTTTGTTTGATTTCTGATGTGGGTTTAGTTTGTTTGATGTGGAAGGTGTAGGCACACAAAAGAAAGAGGGCTCTGTTTTTTGGAGTTGTATAGCCGTACACAACTGCTGGATTCTCCCCCCACCCTTTTGATCCTTGTCTTCACCCAGCTGCCCAGCTTAGGATAGCGACAATGTCGGACGCCGCGCCAGACCCTCAGCCCAAAGGTACGTTCGTCGTTTGAAGCTAAGCGTATTAGATGTTTACCTAAACCCGTAGGTAGATCCTTGAACAGATCCCATGTTCAGCCTTTTTTAAGATAGTTGTAAGAGCACAAGTCTACCGCTAGCAAATATTGTCTGTTTTGACCCGTTATGTATAGATAGATCCTTGACCAGATCTCACGTTTCGCGTTTCTTAAGATAGTTGTAATATCCTAAGTCCACTTTTATCAAATATTGTCCGTTTTGGCCCATTATGTATAGGTAGGTCCTTGAATAGATCTCACGTTTCGCCTTCTTAAGATAGTTGTGATAGTCTAAGTCTACTGTTAGTAAATATTGTCCGCTTTGGCCCGTTATGTATCATCGTCAGCCTCATGGTTTTAAAATGCGTCTACTATGGAGAGGTTGCTTCACCCTTATAAGGAATGCTTCGTTCCCCTCTCCAACCAATATGGGATCTCACAATCCACCTCCTTGAGGCCCCAGTGTCTGGCATACCCCTCGGTGATTAGCTCTAATACCATTTGTAACAGCTCAAGCTCACCACTAGCAAATATTATCCACTTTAGCCCATTACGTATCACTGTCAGCCCACAATTTTAAAATGCATCTACTAGGGAGAGGTTTTCACCCTTATAAGAAATACATCGTTCCTCTCTTCAATTGATGTGGGATCTCACAATCCACCCTCCTCAGGAGCCCAACAGTGGGATCTCACAATCCACCGTCCTTAGGAGCCCAACATTCTCGCAAGCACACCGCCCGGTAATTGGCTCTGATACCATTTGTAACAACCCAAATCCACCGCTAACAAATATTATCCGCCTTGGTTCGTTACGTATCGCCGTTAGCCTCCTAGTTTTATAACACGTCTACTAGGAAGAGGTTTCCACACTCTTATAAGGAATTCTTCGTTCCTCTCTCCATCTGATGTAGGATCTCACAATAGTATAAATGATCTTTTAGGCCTTATATCGGGCCTAATTCTTTAGCTATTTCTAGTGATCTTGTTTTCACTCCACTAGAAGGGTAATGACATCGAAAAGAGGGCCTAATCCGTCTGAAACCATGGCATGAGGGACGGGAGGGTTATGTGTATGCCCCCACTGAGTAGAACAATGGGTGTATCAGTTTGGTTTCATAGAGCTGAGAACAAATTGAACTTAAGTGAAGTGTCAAGTGTGTTGTCATTGTGTTTTTATAGGTGGCAACGAAGCTGAGATGTCGGAGGAAGATAGAAAGATGAGGCTTGCATCTCTTAAGCAGAAAGCGATCAGTGCCTCAAACAAGTACAAACTTTCAATGAAGAAACGAGGTAGGAGAAACAGCAGCAGAGTGATGTCTATCTCAATTGAAGACGACATCGACGCAGAAGAATTACAAGCAGTTGATGCCTTCCGCCAAGCTCTGATATTGGAAGAACTCCTCCCTGCCAGACATGATGATCATCACATGATGCTCAGATTCTTGAAGGCTAGAAAGTTTGATTTTGACAAGACAAAGCAAATGTGGACTGACATGCTTCAATGGAGGAAAGAGTTTGGATCCGACACAATCATGGAGGTTACGAACTTCTTAACGTTCGACCTAAACTATTACTAAACTCAAAAGCTTACGTAGTCTCGAGTTGTATTCATTACAGGAGTTTGAATTCAAGGAGGTTGATGAAGTGTTGAAGTACTATCCACAAGGGCATCATGGAGTTGACAAGGACGGACGGCCCGTGTACATCGAACGACTCGGGCAAGTTGATTCCACCAAGCTCTTGGAGGTGACGACCATGGATAGATACATCAATTACCATGTCCGAGAGTTCGAGAGGACGTTTGTTTTGAAGTTCCCAGCTTGCACTATTGCAGCTAAGAAGCACATTGATCAAAGCACGACCATCTTGGATGTCCAAGGAGTGGTACGGCTTGGCTCGTTTGGTAACGTTTTTGTTTTTTT